ACAACCCAAGGTAAACTTAATCAAGACTGTAATAACAGTAAGCTCCGCCATTATCGGCGTTACTTTTTAAAGTTTCGGTTTCATGTATCATCATTCTGCAGCCTCTCTCCTGCTCTCTGCATGTCGCCCCTCACAGCGCGCGCGCACACACACAGACACACAAACTCAACAGCAGAGAGGCCGCGGTGCAGATGAAGGGAATATAACTTCAAGATTACTCTAGTTGACGACAACTAGCCCACGCTTGTTACTGTGAGTAAGTGTAATAAAACCTCTGCCAGCCAAGCCAATACTTTATCAATACATGTGATCAGCATGTAGAAAGCCATATTTCAATCCGCTCTGTCCGGAGTCTCTCATTCACCGCTATTATGATTTATGATCGCGGTCGACACAAGCACATCGCGCTCGCGAGGCTAACAGCAAAGTAATAAAGACAAACTAAAATGAAAGCTGTCTATGTGTAGGCTAACACTTTATCTGAACATGTACCTGAGGCACCCGACCTGCAGACAGTGAGTGTCCTCAGTAGAGGAGGAACAGAGAGCAGGATGAATGACTGACACTGATGTTTGTCTTCATGCTGAGATAACGTGACTTTCTTCACTCAGTGTTGTGATATCAGGCGGATATTTATATTCCAGTGAGATATTATTGGGTTTTAAATAGTGACTCTGTTGTTGTAAACATGACTGTTGCTGCCATGGACTGTATAAAACTATATCCTGTGTAACTGACCTATAAGAAAAACGTCACGTGTGTGCATGTGTGTGTGTGTGTGTGTGTGTGTGTGTGTGTGTGGAAAGGAGAGAGGGAGATGCTGGAAGAGAGATAGTGTGTGTTATTAGATACTGTTAATGTCACTTATTATGCTTCTGTGCATTGATAGCTCTGTGTTAGTATGTTTCTGCATCATGTTGAGGAGGGCCATGCCTGTGTGTATATACAGTCAGGTCCATAATTATTTGGACAATGATACAGTTGTCGTCATTTTGGCTCTGTACACCACCACAATGGGTTTTAAATGAAACAATGAATACCTGCTTAAAGTGCAGACTCTCAGCTTTCATTTAAGGCTTTTTTTCAAAAATGTAGTATGAACCATGTAGGAATGACAACCATTTCTTCACACAGTCCCCCGACTTTAAGGGCTCATAAGTATTTGGACAAACTAACATATTCATCAATTAAACAGTCAGTTTTAATACTTGGTTGCAAATCCTTTACAGTCAATGACTGCCTGAAGTGTTGGACCCATAGACATCATCAGATGCTGGGTTTCTTCCCTGGTGATGCTCTGCCAGCCCTTTACTGCATCCGTCTGCACTTCCTGCTTGTGTTTTGGGTGTTTTGCCCTCAGTTTTGGCTTCAGCAAGAGAAACGCATGCTCAGTTGGATTCAGGTCAGATGATATGACTTGGCTGTTGCAGAACATTCCACTTCTTTGCCTTAAAAATGTCTTTGGTTGCTTTTGCAATATGCTTCAGGTCATTGTCCATCTGCACTGTGAAGCATCATCCAATGAGTTTTGAAGCATTTAATTGAATCTGAGCAGATAATGGTGCCCCAAACACTTCAGCTTTCATCCTGCTGCTCTTGAAGCTCATCGAGAGAATGCCAAGAGTGTGCAAAGCAGTAATCAGAGCAAAGGGTGGCTATTTTGAAGAAACTAGAATATAAAACATGTTTTCAGTTATTTCACCTTTTTTTGTTAAGTACATAACTCCACATGCGTTCATTCATAGTTTTGATGCCTTCAGTGAGAATCTACAATGTAAATAGTCATGAAAATAAAGAAAAAGCATTGAATGAGAAGGTGTGTCCAAACTTTTGGCCTGTACTGTATATCTAGATAGCTTCTCCCAAACTTCTCTTCTACAGTTGACCTCAATGATTTCTTCATCTAAATCATCAACGTGTCCCCATCCCAAATAGGCTACTTAAGGAAGTCTTACCTTTAGTTAACACTCACATATTAGACATGATCAGTATATCTCTATTAACAGGCTATGTACCACAGTCTTTTAAGGCAGCTGTAATTAAACCTCTTCTATAAAAGCCCGCCCTGAATCCAGAGATGTTAGCGAACTATAGACCAATTTCTAATCTTCCCTTTCTTTCAAAGATTCTTGAAAAAGTAGTCGCAGACCAACTGTGTGACTTTCACCACGATAATAATTTATTGGAGGAATTTCAGTCAGGATTTAGAGTGCATCATAGCACTGAGACAGCATTAGTTAAAATTACAAATGATCTTCTGATTGCTTCAAAGGACTCGTTTCTGTACTTGTTTTACTAGATCTTAGTGCGGCATTTGACACAATTGACCACCAAATTCTGCTACAGAGACTGGAACATTTAAGTGGCCTAAAAGGTTCTGCACTATGCTGGTTTAAATCTTATCTATCTGATCGTTTTCAGTTTGTTCATGTTCATGATTAATCATCTGTACGTACTAAAGTTTGTTTTGGAGTTCCACAAGGTTCTGTGCTTGGACCAATTCTGTTTACTTTATATATGCTTCCCTTAGGTAACATCATTAGAAATCACTCTGTAAATTACCATTGCTATGTGGATGATACACAGTTGTATTTATTGATAAAACCAGAATAAACAGATCAATTAACTAAACTTCAGAAATGCATTAAAGACATAAAAACCTGGATGAGCTCCAATTTCCTTATGTTGAATTCAGACAAAACTGAAGTTATTGTTCTTGGCGCAAAACACCTCAGAAATTCTTTGACTGATGATACAGTTTCTCTAGATGGCATTGCTCTGGCCTCTAGCACTACCGTAAGAAACCTCGGAGTAATATTTGACCAAGATCTGTCTTTTAACTCCCATTTAAAACAAACCTCAAACTGCGTTTTTTCATCCGCGTAATATTGCAAAAATGAGTCCTATCCTGTCCCAAAAGATGCAGAAAAGTTGGTCCACGCTTTTGTTACCTCTAGACTGGATTGTAATTCCCTATTATCAGGTAGCTCTAATAATTCTTTAAAAACTCTCCAGCTAATTCAGAAGACAGCGGCATGTGTGCTGACAGGAACTAAGAAACAAGATCACATTTCTCCTGTTTTTGCTTCTCTGCACTGGCTCCCTGTATCCTACTCCTAACTTACAAAGCTTTAAATGGGTCAGGCTCCATCATATATTAGAGAGCTCATAGTGCCATATTATCCCACTAGAGCACTGCGCTCTGAGAATGCAGGGTTACTCGTGGTCCCTAAAGTCTCCAAAAGTAGATAAGGAGCCAGAGCCTTCAGCTATCAGTCTGCGTTTCTGTGAAATCATCTTCCTGTTTTGGTCCAGGAGGCAGACACTGTTTTCACATTTAAGACTAGACTTAAGACTTTACTTTTTAATAAAGCTTATAGTTAGGGCTGGCTCAGGCTTGCCTTGGACCAGCCCCTAGTTAGGCTGACATAGGCCTAGTCTACCAGGGGACCTCCAATAATACACCTCCTATAATACACAGAGCACCTTCTCTCTCTCTCTCTCTCCTTTGCTAACGCTCATGTCCTGTTACTGCATCTCGCTAACTCGGCTCTACTGCATGTCATTAACTCGGCTTCTTCTCCGGAGCCTTTGTGCTCCACTGTCTCGCATGTTAACTCATATCGCAGCGGTGCCTGGATGGTGTGATGTGTATGGTTGTGCTGCTGCCGTGGTCCTGCATGATGCCTCCCACTGCTGCTGTTATCATTAGTCATACTTCTACTGTCATTATGCACTAGGGCTGTCAAAATTGCTCGAAAATGACGTTCGAATATTCCTTCTAAAAATAACTCATAGGTTCGAACCATTCGAATATTTTTTTTTCCGCATTATGTCCACAAGAGTGCAAACTAATACAAGGAAACATACATGTATATGTATTAATACAAGGAAACGTAACTACTTGTAGGTATTTTTATTTCAACATAAACGTCTTTGAAAACATTTACATACCTACACATTTAAACCCATAAAACAATTATCTATAACATTACGTTATAAACGACCGTGGACCTCTCGCTCGCCCCCCCTCTCTGACCCGTGGCCACACCGCCTGCGGAAACGCTGCGAATAGCCTCGAAGCACCGGACTGTGACCGGCTCGCGCCCTGCAGCAATCGTTTCGGCGTCTGGTCTATTTTCTGCGCGAGCCGCGAGCGAATGTGTCAAGCCGAGTGACGGAGACAACAGCTGGGAGCAGTCACTTATTGTCACTCACATACATATACTATCATATATCAACGTATTGTACCACAATAGCTGTAATAATTATTATTATAATATTATTACTTAAATTAATGTTGTTGTAAGCTACTGTCACTACTGTCTGTCCTGCATTTCTCTCTGTCTCTTTATGTATAATTTTGTGTACGGATTACTGTTAATTTATTATGTTGATCTGTTCTGTACAACATCTATTGCGTGTCTGTCCGTCCTGGAAGAGGGATCCCTCCTCACTTGCTCTTCCTGAGGTTTCTACCATATTTTTTCCCCATTAAAGGGTTTTTTTGGGGGAGTTTTTCCTTATCCGCTATGAGGGTCCAAAGGACAGAGGGATGTTGTATGCTGTAAAGCCCTCTGAGGCAAATTGCTATTTGTGATATTGGGCTTTATAAATAAGATTGATTGATTGATCACTGCTGGAGCCATGTTGTCATGTCCACGGATCTCAGCAATTACACTGGTGAGAACAATTTTATTATAACTGAAATAAGTGATGGCCAAAACTATAGCATAAGTTCCATGGCCACTGTTTGGTTTATGTCATGTGCATAAGAGTTGCCTTACAGCAGTATTATTGTGTGGTAAATCATATATTAAGTTTTCTCTGAGGTTCGTGTTCTGCTTCTAAGTATGAAAATTGAAATTTAATGCATTGCTGAGCTGCACTGACAGAAGAGATGTCTTGCTGGTGTATCATCACTGCTGTTTTCTTGTTCATTCTTTCAGCTACAGAAGCAGCTATCTATTTTCATATTTGTGCAGTGCTTTGATACCCACCCTGCCCTCCTTGCTGTAGGCCAGGAGCTTGTCCTCTTCCTTAGGGTGAAAGATGAGTGTGTCTGGAGTGAAGGATATGGACTGACGCTGGAAGGAGGAACCTTCGTCTGTGCTGATAAACAGCATCTGATCCCTTTCATTAATGGATGAACCCACCAGCACCACCTTAAAGAAAGACAAAAAAGAAGAGGAAGGACAATAATTAGAGATCAAAGGATAATTTCATGAAGTCAGCAGTCTGTGGAAAACTACACAACACTATCCTCCTCCTGTCAATACTTGGGCATGTTGCAAGAGAAAACTGATGAATAGAAATGCATGCATGCCTATGCATGCACATTTATTCAAGGACATTCTTTGGGCCATAAGAACTTTCCATTAAGCTTAAAAGCTCCTTAGACCGAGGTGACACTGTATTTATTATCTATTCAGATTTTTATACCTCATAAAGTCATTTAACACGAGGCACAGCAGGACCTGTCATCTCACCAATTATAATTTTGTCCTGGACAGCCATAAGTGAGGCTACCAATAGGGGTGATCAATAAGAACTAATGGGCCAATCACATTCTTTAGGAGTTTGTGAGGAGCGGGAAACTGTCCAATGAGGGTTCCTAGGCATAGGTGTTTATCATCGTTACAATGTTGTTTGTACCTGATCTTTACAAAAAGCAATGGGATGACAACTGTGTTCTTTCTTAACATCTCTTTCACATATCAAAGCATGCATTATCGTAACTGCTTTATGTTATCATCTGTATGTCTGTCCATTATGTTTATCCTATGTTGTCTATCCTTATTTGTCAATATTTTTGTCACATTATTTTACCAATTAAAAAAAAAGTTTCTATTGTTCCCAGTGAGGAATTGCTGTGTTCTGACTTCCTCTCATCTCCAGATTACCTTTGAGGCACCTTTGGAGTTGTTGTTCATTTGCCAATCTCAGTGACTTCCTCCCTGAAATTCTGTGCACAGAAACAGAGTTGCACTCCCTTAATGGGCTGAGCAGGGAGTGACAGTTTGACTCAGCCCACTCTCACTTCAAACTGAGTTATATGCTGTTCTAACTTTTTGCAAAACAATAGCCCAGTTCAACCTAGCTGTTTTTCCTTTGGTAGAAATCCAATATTAGGTTGATTATGTTATATGTTGCCGTCTACTTCAGCCTCCCACACCCAGGGCTGGTTCTCCTACCAGATACTGCCGTCTACTCCAGCCTCCCACACCCAGGGCTGGTCCTCCTACCAGCCACCACCATCTGCCTCAGCCTCCTACACCCAAGGCTTAGAATCCTACCAACTGCTGCAAGTGCCAGGGTCTCAGTCTCAGGGTGGCCCTTCAGACCAGCCACCTCCAGCTCCAACACATCAACCTCCAGCTCCAACACCTCAACTGAGAGATGTTGGAGCTGATCAAGATTCTCACAGACACTGTGTGCTAACTCAACTTGGTTCTCCTTGTTGCGAGAAAGTTAGCAACGAGAAGAACAATCGGTTCCAGGAATTGAGACAGCATAAGGTAGCCCTTGAGGATCAGGAGCGAGAGAGGAGAGGTGAGCCCCCAAGAAGTGACAACCCACCAAAGACAGCTACTGCTATCAATGTAAGCTATGTGGTCAGTCAAAAAACAAACTCACTGGCCACACACAGCTACGTGGGAAGTGGTACTGTCCTGCATCTAGACAGACCATCGCAGAGTGGAAGAGCTCATTGTAAATATGTGAGACCATGGATTCACAGGACCACAGATGATTTGTCATTTGTTAAAATATAAACTGAACATGTGAAGGTTTCTCTTCTCTGCATGCTCTTTGTTCTTTAGACAAAGAGAGCTATTTCTCACCTCAATGAGAACAGTCGCCGAACTTGATTGGACAGGACTTTTACAGTGGCATGTGACTCTGTGATGTCACAGGTATCTGTAGAAGGTCTGCTCTCTTCAGCCTTTTTCTCTTTTCTGCTGGGCCTGGAACAGTCCAGATGCTCTCTTACTCTGGAGATGCCGAGCAGCTCACACCTCTTCGCCCTGAGCTGTGGACCAGCCCAGAGGTGCCCAGACAGGCCTCCACTTACCCTGGGCTGCCAACAAGCTCAGACCAATGTTTACAGACTCTCTAAACCTGAACCAGAGAAGTTAGAGGAACTTACTTACAAGGAGAACCAAGTTGAGTTAGCACACAGCGTCTAACTCTGCAAAGACCCTGAGCGACCAGCTTCCTCGGAGTTTCACCTTTAGAACAAAGGACACAACAAAGATTGCATCTGGAACCACAGCTCTTTCCCGCCTTCCTCTGCCAACAAAACAGCACACCACCAAAGCGACTCTTTCTTCCATCCATTCAAGGATCGGTAACATAACAACTGGGCATAGCTTTATCACAGCTTTACAGGCTAAGAAAGACTGTTTAACTTGTTATATGTGATTTAATGCTGTCATTGAGTTGTTGTTGTGATTGTTTGCAGTTAGGTCATTGGTTAGTTGGATTCACCAAAGCTAAATGTTTAGTTTGCTAATGCTGTTCACAGACAGATTCTTGCACACAACCAAACAATCTCTGCACTAATCCAGACCGTTTGCAACATAATTGATGCCTCCATGTGATGCCTAATTTATGTTCCCTACATAATTGGTGCCTCCGTGTGACGCCCCAATTTTTGTTCCCTACAATAGTTATTTGTTTACATAGTTTTCACAACTTGTGGTTTGTTAAAGTGTTAAAGTGTTGCATTTGCAACTCTTAAAAAAAGTACAAGCAGTAACATTTGCAATTCTTGGGAAAAAAAAGAAAGAAAAAAGCCTTTTCCAAGCAGGCACCTTATCAAAATATAGTTGCATTTGTAACTTTAAAAAAAATAAAAAAACAACAAAAAAAAAAAACAACAAAAACACAATTCTTGTGGTGTAACAGCAACATAGCGATCCTGTGGGTGGAAGATTCCAGGTGCAAATCCTGGCAAGAGTGTGCAACTTGGGAGGGCGCTGCTGAGTTGCCGCAACCACATCCTCGAGTGAGCCATCGGCTCCTGCAGAGGCCACCTCGACGCACGCTAACCCTGACATCGCTGCCCTCAAGCTCGAGTTGCTGGCCTCGCTGAGGAAAGATATTGCTGATATTTTTAAAAAGGAACTCCAGGATACTCTCGGGGATGCTTTGTCTAAGCTCGACCTGCAAGCGATGAAGACACAGCTGGTGAATGATAAAGCTGCTACCAATGCTACCATGTCCAAGCTAAAAGGTGTGGTCGGAGAGATGGAGCGCGCACTCACCAAGTGTGTGTGTGTGTGTGTGTCCATAGCCCTGCCTCCCTCACAGAGACAAAGACACTCGATGACAAGAGCTTTCCCTCTGTTCATTACGCTAATGAACCAACTCACCTGGCTGCCAGACGATGCACGGCAGTGAACACTCTTGTCGTCCAGTCTCTTTGGTGTAGAGAGACGAGGAAAACAAACAAGCATGAATATGGCAATTAATCGTTGCCAGAAAAGTCACCGTCTCCCTTTTAATTTACCGTGCAATTAACCAACTTCTCGCATATCGTGACAGGCCTAATTATGATTCCCAGTCCCGCCCATCCGTATGTTGTTTTTGCAGTGAGAGAGCTCCTCTTGGACGTGAAGAACAGTCTCAGACATGGGGGTGAGAACAGAGTAGATGTCCTTTAACAGGTCAGTATGATGGCTTTTAAGCCTCCAAGCAAGAGCTGCTCCAGCTGCGTATCCATATGTTAAATCATTTATTGTTGTTCAAGGAGTGGTTTTGTCAGTGTTTTGGTGAGCTGTTCAGTATGAGAGATGATTTATTTTGTCATTTGCTCCATGTTTCTCTTTTGGTCCTGCTGGAGGCGCAGTTGGTCCTCCACAATTTTCTGAAGCTGTTGTTCATTTACAAAGCCAGAATCATTTTCCTTTGTGGTTGAAATTCTCAGACGATTTTGTTTGTTTCCACTGTTTTTGCCAGTGTTAACATCTTTTTGGGAGTTAGGAGCTCAGACAATCCACATATGTCCATATCCAACAGAGAATGTGAGGAGCAAGTGAACCCTGGAGCAGGCACTGAATTTGAGGGTGGAGCCTCCTCTGATCCTGCTTCCATTTGACTCAAGGACTCCAAGTTGTCAGCCATTTTGTTTCCTTTATTCCTTTGTTCCAGAAATAAAGTTTTATGTCCACATCCGATGTGGGGGTTTTCTTTTGTCACTCAGTATTTTTCCTTCAGTCGAGTCCCATCTGGGGTGCCACTTTTTGAGGTTTAAGTTTTATTTTATTTTATTTATGTTATTTTATTTTTATTTTGTTCAGTTTAGGTTTGTCTTGGGATTTTTTTCCAGGGTGCCAGCCAGGTCTCTCTCCTGGCATGTAAGATGGTCAGTCAAGTTTTAGGTAGTTGTGTTTTTTTCTGTTTGTCATTTAGTTGTTTGTTTGTTTTAAACCCAAAACCTCACAAATGATGTACCTTATTAAGAAAATACGCCCTACATTGAGTGACAACACAACAATAACACAACACCGCACAATAATTGCAATACCAAGCAGAGTATATTATCATGAAATGAAAAATGAAGACACAATAATCATTCATCATAATAATTAATCATAATAATTAAAGTTAATCGAAGGATGGCTATTGCGAACGGCAGATGAAATGAGGAAGGGATTGACGGCTAATTTTAGTTTCACTACTGCGCTTTGAGCGTACTGCTCCAACATGAACTATCTCTCCTGCTGCTCTCTCTCTGTCTGCCAGGATGAATGAGGGATATACACAGGATTTGAATGTTTGCGCGATCACTCAACATATCGGCAAGTACATGGGGTGTGATTGTAGGAGTTCCTGGGTGTACATACGGGAGGTGCCAACTAATGGAAAAATACGGGTTGTCACAACATGCTTCTGGGATTTCCTTCCTGGAATTATGGTTCCACTGTTCCCTGTAGTCCCTTTTTGCTTCTTTTACTGCTCATCTTACGTTGTAGGCTGCTGCTTTGTAATTGTCCGTGTTGCAGTCCTGGGCCCTATTTTAGAAAGCAGCGAAACCCTGAGTCAGTTACTATGGCAGCTTACTCCGTTACTCTTAAGCCTGCTGGCTTGCAGGTTTGCTTCATCTAAGCCTGAGGATGAGCGTGTTGCAGGTAGGAGAAACATGGCATGTCCTTTAGAGAAT